TTAAAATATAAACACTTTTTTGTAGAGCAGAATAAGTGTTATAATTGTTCTTAATTTTCAAAACAGCGCACCAAACATACATAAACAACAACCATAAGAAAATGGTTTTCAGAACTACGCAATTGAGAATTTGTGATTTAAGACATATAAATATAAGTGTATTCTTGTTGTTGTTGTATTGTTGTTTTTTACTTTAAAGGAATATTATTTCATGTGTAGAATCCAAAAGGTATTTCTATACTTATTGCTAACAATAAAAGAAGATAGGGTTATTACTTTATATGTATTAAGATTTTTTTCTTTACAGTTAATACAAAGGAGAAAATACCATAAAACAAATTAATTTAAACATATCAATAAATATATTATACAATTAATATGATCCATATCTCTTTAAATTTTTACGTTAACTTAGAAATTTTCATTTTTCACAGTTTTAAGAGACAACAGACCTGAGTATATATATATATAAATCTCAACTCGATACCTCCACGCGTTCCCGAGATAAAGACTCTTGCCAGACAGACGGAAAACATATTGATCCTATAAGGGTTCCGACTCCGTCTTTTCTTTTGAGGTACGGATTCCTAAAAACATTTAAAATTGATCTCAATGTACCTGTGAGAACTCTAATACTTTTACGACTATCGTTATCTCTGTTACTTTGAAAGCTTTATAGAAAATCAACATCATGTCTTCCATGATCGCAGTTTAAAAATATATATTAACGAAACCTGTTAACACAAAACAAAACATGTGGGATCACCATGAATTTCGAATAGGTATTATTGGTAACCATCTGCTTATTGTAAGACGAGATCATACGCGTATCGAATAAATGCTATCCACGGTGGCTGCAAACATAATAACATATTTTTTTCTATTGTCACTGTTACAATACGTATGGGGAATGACAGTCGCCTACCGTAATGAAGATGTAATGGGGCCGCGTGTATCTCTAATCCTTTGCCATGGGGTGGCCGGCCCATGAAAAGATGTCATACAAAAATGACAGATATTTTGACAGTAATGCAACGGATTCGACGCTGCATTGGCCTATGAATGGACTTAAAATTAGCGCTTTTTAATTTTAAAATAGCCTACACAACATAGTTTGAAATCAAATTTCAAAACAGATGACAAGCGTATTTGATGATAATTATTTCCGTAATAACCTTGTTCCTATTTTTTTTTAAATTACCGTTAGTATAGCTCTAACATTTTGCAAACTATATTTGGTCCTAGGTATTAAATTTTACTCTGCTTTGTTTACAGAAATCAAACGAATCAATCCGTATTGTAACGAATATAACAGAACTTATTAACATATTATACAAGCATGAACGCTTCCCAGTGAAAAATCAACATGAAACTCATCAATGATTCATAACCAATATAACACAGTGCGGCAGGGCCATTTTGATTTTTTTTTATTCATAACAAAACATTCGCCTATCAAATATTGCAATAATAATTAGCTGCCTGCCAATTGCACGTCAATTTGCATCAGATGTAAATTATGGATTAGAAATTATGAATTTATAATTTGATTGACATCTGCTTAGGTGAAACCCTTATTAAGAACCAGTTTGTCTCTTCCAACTGTTGTTATACATTACTCAAAATCATTGGGATAATATTTTCGATTTATATCCAGATCTCCGTTTGAAGTGCATCATCAAAATTTAAACCGTCGTCACCACTATAAGACTTGTGAGAAAATATTTGCACATCCCAAAAGTGGTAATTGAATTAGAAGAAGTTTTATTAACAATCCAGGGAATTGTTAAAACGAGGAGATGCGTTTCAAGAGATTTCGAAGCGTTTCTGTTGTTCGTTTTTTCGTTTTAAAAAAAAACTGTACTCGCCAATCAAGTTTTCATTTTGAAAAGTTTGAATACTACGACAGTTCTCTTTGTCGAATTTACCGTTACTGTCTCCGTTTTTCTTAAAAAAAGTGTAAATTTCTAAAAAGTGTGAATTCAAAAAACGGAATTGTTGACGGGGGTCGCGCCTAAACCGAAATTAGGGTTTATTCGTACGCAACCTTTTATTGCACTTTGACACGAGACGTGGAATTCTTTGATTACCCGTATTTTTTGCAGAGAAGATTTTTATTGAGATATCGGCATTTGGGAAACGGTGGTTAGATAATGTTACCATCGCCGATTTGACAATGCGCGTAACCCCTTCAAGTTTACTTAGACATGTGAACTTTTTTCTGTCTTTCAAATGAGCTGGCTCTAACCTGCGGGTTTGGAAGAAAAAAAAACACAATTACACCAGCTGCGGTGTAATTGTGTGATTTATCTCGAGAGCAGTGTAGTAACGAAGCGGTTGGTAATAGTGAAAATGCCATCAAAGGTCTTTTACGCCCAGTGGTTCGGAAGTGGCGCGGTCAGCGTCGATCGTTTGCGGTCCTAATGGTGTTCCCAATTGGCCCTTTTACTCTATTGTCACGTACTAGAGCAAGATAAAGCAAATTAAACGTTAACAGAAAATTATTTTAAATTTCGAGACATTACTTTCGTAAGATACTGCTTATTAAATATTTTAGCTTCCAACTTATAAAATACAATAAATTATTTTAAATAAATATACCCAATTTGTTTTCCTAGTCAAAAAGCTCATTTGACATCATGCATTCTACGTCAAGGAAAAACCAAATCGGCTTAATGAATATAACTTCATTTTTAATTATCGAATCGAAATTTAAATCACATAACAATAATAATGATGTTAACTTTAAATACAACGGTTACTGCAAAGTGTCGAATTTCCTCAATATGTGAAACCTATATGTTAGTTGCAGCATTTTGGATAAAAGCTGTAGTTTTAAAATTTACCTTTCGATTTCAAATATTTTTATAACGCTTGTTATCATTCTATTTTTCTTCAATGGAATCCTGATTAATAAACAATTTATAGTATACCTGACAGCAACTGAAATATATCCGCTTACAAAGTCGTTACATAGTTAACTTTGGAACCACAGAGCAGACGTATAGTACCTACCTAATTTACTTGCACCAAAGATCCAAATTCAAAAACTAATCATGTTTAAACCTCATGTCATTTATATTTGATTTAAAACAATTGACAAGCATAGAATGATGTACCAAACGCGTTGAAGCTTTAATTTAAATTAAGGACTTTGGTACAAGTCGGCCTTAATTTAGCAATCTCATGTCTGTGGCACAGAATACATATGCAAAATTCAGACTCTGCCTATTCCAGTAGCAGAAGCTATTAAAATCATTATATTTGTATGCCTAATGCTATTTTTTTATGAAAAATTATTAAGGTGATTCTTTTCTTCAATAAACATATTACCTTACTATAGCGAAAATAAAGCAGAAGAAATGAGAACAAGATACGATACCAAATTGTCTATACCTCTGTACTATAGAATTATTACTACCGACCGCCCGCGACTTCGTACGCGTGGAGTTAGTTAGAAATAAATGTTCACTGCTCGTTACCCGTAGGTGATAGCGTGATAATATGTAGCCTATATATTGACTCGACTTCTTAATAATATTCATGTCAAATTTGAAGTAAATCCATGCAGTACTTTTTGAGTTTATCCCGGACATACATACAGACAAAAATTCTAAAAACTATATTTTTGGCTTCGGTATCGATTGTAGATCACACCCCAATTATCCTTTTAAAAAAATTCCTACCATTTTATTATATGTAGTATAGATGACTATAGAATAAATCAAAAAATTTACACTTTTTTGGAACCACGTTTAATAAAGAAGACACCAAAACATACATTTTTTTCATAAAACCGGAACTAAGTGTTCGTCCGCTGATCATAATGCAGTGGTTTGACTGCAACATAACACCCACAATATTGCGTTACTATCATTCGCTGACATTCGATAGGCGCTTGCGCATCTTTGTGCGTTTGTAGGCGCACGTCCGGTACTTTATGAATGGGCTTGTTTGACAATAAAAGAGACATTGAACAATCAGATCAGGCGATCATTTGTGTGGTGGTTGCTTTTAAATGTTTGTTTTGCATAACAGGAATTGAATATACTTTATAACAACAAATTATCATTTTTTTATACATTCATTTTAATTAATCGATCGAAACATGGTGCAAAGATTCTGATAAACAGATTTTATTTAGATAAATTAAGTAGGGTTATTTTATTTTGGTTCATTTTGGGACGCTTAGAAAAGTATGTTTACCATGTTCAGAACAAAATAGTAAGTAACTAGCACACGACTGTAATTGTTGTTCCTGATTTACTATCTCTCGAACATCTTTCTTATCGTATGAATAACCTTAGATTTCTGTTACCGCCCAGTATCACCTTTCCACGGACAATCCGAACGCATCATCGATTTTGCAAGAAATTCAATACTTTCGAAATTCGCGTAATCGAACAATCGACTTCCGTTTCCTTTGCAGAGTACCCGCCTCTCTGCCAATCCTCGGATGATGCTACTATTAATAACACTATTTTAAACCACATTTTCAGTATAAACTTAAGTAATCTCCTATCTATGAAATCATCATAAGAAAGCTATTATAAAATTATTTTGAGCACGTACAAATATTGTAAATATCGGGAACTTCAATTAACCAGTTCCAGTAATCGATGAATGTAGGATATGCCAACACGAACTTTAATACCTTCAACGTTTTCAAGACATCAATCATTGATTTAATAGACTTAAAGATATATCTCTCACACATTCAGTGAAAGAGAGAAAAAAAGCTTCACTTATTAAAGATTGCACGTAAAAACTTAACGAACCGTGTAACTCGTTACAAAACACTGCACAAAAAAAGGATACTCGAAAAGAGCACGGCTACTTGAGGAAATCAATAAACTTACAAGTTTATTGCATCCCTCTTGACGTTTCAGTTTCGGTACATAATTTTAATTTATTGACGGGACGACGCATTTTTACACTTGACGCTGCATAAGTGTAAGCTAAAGAAAGATGGCCTTGTCATCACTAAATTGGAAACTTACCTCCCAGGCGTACTTCGTGTCCATCGGTTGCGATCCCCACTTTCCGACGAATGGGCCATACTTGGTTCCTACGTTTATGGACGTACGGGCGTACACACCACCCGCTTTAATAACTAATTCCTCTGGCAGATTAAAGTCTGCTTGATCTTCAGACTCGTCGTCTTTTGTTTCATCTTCTTTCGCTTTAGGACTTTTGTCTGGGTCTAAGTATCTCTGGTTTTGGAGGTCCAAAGGCCTGGGTAAGTAAGCAGGGCCGTATTCGGAGTAGTTGGGTGGTATGAAAGTGTCGGGTAGGCCGAAGTCAAGGGAGCCGTAGTATTCTTTCACGTCGGTACCGGGTGGCATCGTTTCTTGTTTGATATGGACGAGTGTGGGCGCTGATTCTGATGTTGCGGAGTCGGTGGGACTCAATGGCGGGCTTCCAGATCCCTGGCTGTCTGCAGCTGTGAACAAAAAATCTAATGTTACTATCCAAGATGTCATGTAACATGAAAATATTAGCTAACAAGGTGGCGCTTTGAAGTTAACTTCTATATTTTTTTATGTTAAAAGGATAACACAAAGAAGCGTATCGCCCTCCTGATGATAATAAGCGGCCACCATAGCCTATAAATAATTGCGATACCAATAATTTCTTTCGCACTGTTGCCTATCCTGACCCAATCCCCTAACCCGTGGAGCCCTGGAACCTTACTCACCTTTCTATGATTACGCCCAACTTGCAAACATTATTCAAAGATTCTACCTCTATACTAATACTTATAATATAATTTATGAAGAGGAAAGATTTGATTGTTTGTTTGTAGTGAACAGGCTCCGAAACTACTGGACCGATTCGAAAAATTCTTTCACACTTTTCCTTGATTCCTTCATTATCCGTGATGAACATAGGCTACAGCCTACACTTTTTGAAAATACACTACCTTATAAATAAAATACACTAAAGTGTATTTTCAAAAAGGTTAGGGTTCGGTATGAAAACTTCCATAATCTAACCTTTTATTGCGTACGTTACAGAAGTCATTGACAATAGAGCAAAGTGATGTACTAAAGTTTTAAAGAGGATACCAATATCTAAAAAACGGCCATGATATATCAACTATTACAGTAATGTCACAACTAGAGTCCCCTGAGGTTTCACCCGAGTTAATTTGAAGAAAAAGGTTATAGCGATTCAAACTTAAAATATGGGCATATGCTGTCGCGGACGTTTTTTATAGAACTTTTAAAGGTGAATAATTCCGTCGACCATGATTTTTGAATCTCTAAAATGGAATATTTTTAACCGTTTTTGCACAAAAACTATAGTCTACACTACAGCTCTACACCGAAGCAAAGCGAGGGCGGGCCACTAGTAGTCAATAATTTCATTATCCACATTGTTATACTAACCTCTGTAAAGAGACAAGCTTTTCTTAAATTAATTTCTTATTTGTAATCAGACAGGCATAGCAACGCATCTCGATGCTCACTTTTTGAAAGCATAAAAAGCTTCTAAAGAGGAGGACATGCAAGATGTTCGTTTTCATTGTGTCGGTTTCCGTTCACCACAAAGCGTTTCCGCTTGTCTCTACTCTCTTAGAGCATCTCGACGGTATGCAAATACGTCACTGTCTTGTTTTATTGCGAAGACGTATATTATCTACAACTTGTTCATTTCAACAACTTCCATGCCACACTACATGCCAGACTTGGCGTCGTCATCCCTGAGCTTCCGAATCTATTTGATTTTGGATCGTCGACATTAAGGTTTTTTTTTATATTTCCGCTTTAGATTAATTTGCTTGGAATTCAAACAATTTTTTTGCTTGGAATAAAACAATTTTAAGCTTTTTATTCTTATGAGTAAGACTATAACTCTATGGGTAAGAAGAAGGGATTTCAAGGCAGAACAATGAAGGTAGCTGGTGAACAACACATCTTTGCGTCATCCAACATTTTGATGGGATACCTCATTCGCGCACACAAACTTCAATCTCGTTTTGGTAGACACAAAGGCGTCAATCTACAACTCGTAGTTGTTACGTGACAATCGTGGAACACTTTGGAGCTGCTTTATATGTGTCACGAGTCAAGACTGGACGGAATCTTTACTTAAACAAGGGAATAAGTAACATACGGCGGACCTTTATTTATGAAAACATTGTCTTTTTCTATTTTTTCATAAATAATTTTGAATTTGATCTCTTTACTTATAAAATACTAGCAATCGCTTGAAAAAAAAATTAAGCTGAAGGATGGTGACTGACATAATCCCGAACTCTGAACATTGACTTAATTTTAAGTACTGTGGAAATAAATGAATGAAAAACAACCAGAGCTTGACCGTATTTTTTACAGCAAAATTAATATCATGAGCCTACTTATAGTTTAATTTGAAGTTGTTCAATTCAGACGTTCGAACGTAACATATTCAATGAAGAAAACAAACGCGTGTCATCAATAAAGCTCCCCTTAACAAATACGGCTGAAATAGACATGCTATTAATCATATAACCCACCCCATTACTGCTAATATACTTGTTAAAACAACCCCTATCTTGTTGCTTCTTCCTAGGCACGTGTCATTGAAAAAACACCGTAAAATTTGATGTTCAAGAGATTAATTCAAAGGAATGATAACTGCTTAGCATTACAAAGGTGCAATACAAATACAAAGCGCAGGAAGCGTGAACGAGCTTCGCTTATGTCTTATAAAGTTTTGGTTGAATTTAGTTGCTAAGGCTGTTCGTTCACCTGTCCTGTTTGGCTGTCAGATAAAAAAGAGATTCAAATTTTTTTATTAACCCTATCGTCTCAATATTGTACTTCAACAAACAAGAAACATTAAATCAGTACAAGATAATAGTTTAATTAAATTACAAAAAGCAACTGGTTCATTTATAACTTATGGCATAGATCGTTAACTTTCATGCTGGCAATAAAATTAAAAATAAACGTTGGCCTTTTTAATTTTCTGTCGTTTTAAATGATGCCAGGTCCGCGAAGTTGGAATGGAACGCCGTAAAAACTGGCGTTCGAATTTCAAATTCAAATGAGCCGTCGCAAGGTCCATTTGTCGCGAGGCGTGCACGGACAATGCAGACGAGTCATCGTTAAATCGTCGGTTTCCGCAGAAACACAGCAGATTTATAATAAGAACACGCTATGAACATAGAACGCGTGGAGAGGTGAAAGAGGTGAATATAGAAAATATACAAAAGCTCATTTTCAACGATTTTTTTCACTTTTCTTTGAGATTTGTCATGCTTACGTTTCTGCAAACATCCTTAGCATTTGCTATCAGATCAGTATTAATTTGGCTATTGACAGAAAAAAAATTAAAAGATACACTTGTCTGCGCGTATTATATTGTCATCAAAAACTATTCATCTCACTTATAGTTAATCTGCAATTAAAAAAATACCTTTTAAGATTGGTAAATTTGTGTAAATTGTTTTTATTTGATAAGTGATATTTAATTACCTCTGCAAAAACGTGAAATTAAATGATTTTAATTTAAAAGTTTTAGAGTCTCTCAACAAGCAAAGATTTTTACTTCACCATCTCATCGTTGTCCAGAAGACCCCACTGTAAGCCGATTTCACGAGTTAGCCACGGCACTGTCAATAGCTGACTTTACTGTCACCGAGAGTTCATGGTTCGATGACGCATAAATATGCCGTAAATCGCGAGCTTTATCACCATCTGTTAGAACTCAAAATGTGTCGAAATCCATTCACGTGTGATGTTAAGCAGGCGTGCAAACTGCAAAGAGCATCGGACATGCGGCCGCGGAATTCATTTGAGACACGACACAATGGTGTAGAATTCACGGAAACTCTTGACTTTCCAGCATTAAATTTTGTTATAGCTAGAAAGCTTGGTGCGTTATCGTCTGTCGTAAAGCCCACATTTTGTAGCGTTAAAATGTGCTTTATCTCTTTGAAATCAAAATTCTTAAATTTAAATAGCAAGTTTATAAATTACTATATTAAAAAGATAGCAAAGAACGCATTTAAAATAGCATTAATTAATCTGAATTTAAGAAACGCAAACATTTGCAGTGTCAAATAAATTTCAAATCACACCGACGGATACTGCAGTGAACAATGAATTTGTTCTTACAGAATAATACTGCTGGTAATGTTTATAAATTTAAACTTATGTTACTTATTACAATTAGAATGATTATTTTGATGGTCTACCTACAAGTTTTTTTTTAACTTTACACAAGCAGGTGAAACCTCAGATTTATACTATTTAAACGATGTTCGATTCACATCATATTTTCACACCATACCAAGAGCAAACAATAATTTTAATAGTTCGATACCTGTTCCAAACACTTTTGGTAAACATTCTTTTGAATGGACGGTGCCCGCCAAAAGTTAGCGTCAATAAAAAAAAGTTAAAAAGTCGTCTATCTTATGTCTATGGCCTTTTTCGCACGCTCTTGAGAGAACGCAGATAGCACTTGAGAACCGAAAAAAGGTGGCAAAGGCGATGCGGTTAGAATGCCTTATTTGCGTTCAACAAGCGGAATGATGTTCTTATCTTATTTAATGCTTCGTTTCTTTAAAAAAGCGATCACTTGCAAAAAGATTTTCATAAGGTAAATCTGTCCATTTGATTACCTATTTATAATAAATTCTCGATAGTTACAGTTATGATAATGACGATTTTATTAATATAGATGAATTTTGAGATGTTTCTTAAAAATGCGTATTTTTTATGCCATAATTTTTAAATGTTTTTATTATTTTATTAAAATATAGAAAAAGTACAGATTAATGTTTAGTGAATTTTGCGCTAGGTAATGTGAGGTCAGTAGGTATTTGTTTAAATATACACTAATTAGGGAAAACAAAACAAAAAATTTGGGCTATCTCTTATTCAAAGAAACAGCCTTAAACATACTTAAAGTGATGACCGTGCCTAGATAACCCCTTGCATTAGTTACAAATAAGAAAAAGGATACCTACTTAAAGAAAAGATGGCTACTATAAGATTTAATTCGCTTCATTATCATAAAATTATACTTTCCACCACACACAGAGACGTCAATAAATTTATCACCTCTCTGCCTTACAATTGTATTAGCATAAAACAACACATCACTTTAACATGCATTTAATGTAATTGACGCATCTGGAGAGCGACCGTTATTTCCAAGTACACATATCAGAAATTTAAATGTAGAGATATTGTTATAGCAACTTACCAGATATCTTCATTTTCGTTGGCGCATCGAAATTAAGCATTTGGTGAAATTTCATCATTTTGTCTCATTGTCAGTTACTTAGATCAAAATATTATATATTTCAAAGTTTTAAATTCCTTCAATAATGTCACAACACTACAATCGATATTCTACCAGACACTGCCAATAATCCACCAAAACACAAAGCGTTCAATCGTTCCAAATTCAAATTTTAGAACAGCTAAATCGAAAATCGAATTATTTAAATTTTTATTTTTGGAACATCTAACGAGTGATGGGCGTCCATCGACTACTCGCGCGCTAATCGAGCGTGACAGTGCGACTACGATGTGTGCATCGGCCGCAACGCACCGTGCCAGAGTAACGGGAGGAAGCGAGAGCTCATCCCTAGATTCCCGAATCACATACCCCGGCCAGGACCGCCCGTCCCAACCCGCGCCCCGCCTGTGTCTCTGTACACCCCTCTCTCTCGCACAACTCGGGGTCGTATAGAATGTTGCCTTTGCCGTCTGAAAATATCCAATAGATTTTCCAGCGGATAGAATGTGGTGTCAAGACAGGACGGCAATAAACTTTCTATAAAATTAAACGAACAATATACACAGTTGTGTCAGAAAATACTTGTCTAATAAAATAATGACAATTTAAAAACAGATCTTTGTACTATGATCGACATTTTTGAAAATTTGGACGCAAGGCTTATTTGAAGAACTATTCATTAATGTTCAAACAACAATAGATACTGTTTGATCTTACAATTAACTGTAGGTAATTATACTCACGTGCCGTAAGATAAACAAAGTTTGAAATATCAGTGTTCCAATAAAAAAATAATGACTCGAATAGTAGTCCATTCATACAGAACTGACTCGGGTTTCTCTGTTATGAAACTTTATAGCAATAATAACAATGTTTTACTGCAGGATCAACCTACAAACAATAGCCCTTCAGTTATCGACAGTGCCTAGAACAAATGATTAGAATCCGACCATTATGTAGAGAGCTCTGGAATCCCACATCATGACCCCCTTGCAGTAACTTTTAGCCTATCAACGAGAGCTGGGGTATATCAAATAAAGTTGGTCAATGATACGAGACAAGGCATCGATTAAGAAAACAAAGCTGATTGAAAGTGTGCTAGCAGGCGTCTTATCGCGCCGTAGATTCAATCGGACTGCCACTGGTCTAAAACAAAACATCAGACTACGCTTTTAACTCATTCATTTTCCAGTGATTAATTCGTGTTTTTATTGTGGTGATAATGGTTGGAGTTTATTCAATCGAAAAAAGAATTTGAGTTAAAAAAAGAACACCGAGTTTATTTTCATCTACAAACCAATTAACTAACCGCATAATGACAAACAAAAACTCATTCGTTACATAACAAGCTTTACGACTCACGAACAGTTTTCAGATACATTTCAATGCTGGCTGAAAATAGCGCTCGCAGTGGAGTATGCCAAGTGAGACAGCAGATAACTAGATAACGCTCAAGATCTGTGTACGGGGCCGGGATTGGTCGGCGACAACGGTGGGCGTGGCCACGCAGCGGATGCGCCAATAGGATGCTCCTTATTATCTGCGTCTTTGTCTGTCAGGATTCTGTAGTGATGTTGCAGGTGCTACGGCACTGGCCGCCATCGTTCACATAGTATGTTATATACCGAGTATCGATTGTCGTTTGATTAGAATATAACTCTCACTTATCAACAAAGTGTTAATAAATTTACCTGAGCTTACTAATTTACGTATTCTTGCAATTATGATATTATTTAAACTAATAATATTACAATAAATCATCTTAATATATATAATTAATTTCCATTTATAGGTAATTTATAGAACAACATCCGATCTTAATAGAACTATAGGGATGATTATGCGATGTGAGTCCAAGTATTGTTTATATTGGTAACATTTTCAGCCCCTCTTACTTGTATAGCTCTAAATTAGGTTTCATTTTTCTATTTTTAAAAGTACTTAGTAATCTTCCTATTAAGTGTAGAATTGGCTTATGACAATTTGTCGGGATTAATTCAAATTAAGATTCTTCCTTTTTTCTTTGTAAAATATGTTTAAGCAATTTCACTTGTTTAAATTTTATTTTAGGTACTATATCTACGTATGCTGTGCGTAAGAACTAATGAATAGAATAGTAATTAAAGATTTTTTTGACTAAGTTATCTGTGTAAGCAGGTACCTATGTACCTACTGATGTACTATAGGTATACCATAAGATCATGATAGTATAAATTTGAAGTTTCTTTTTTTATTCAAAACTAGCTGTGTCCTGTTAACTAGTGTGTGTTTATTAGGGATATTTTCCCGCAGTTAAACATAGCCTTTGTGTTAATCAAGGGTGTCAGCTAACTGCATACCAAATTTTATTAAAATCGCTCCAGCCGTTTAGACGTGAAGAAGTAACAAACATACACACTCACACACCCACAAACTTTCGCCTTTATAATATTAGTGTGGTAGAAATGAACTAATAGGTAAATAAAGTTAGTTATGATGCCACTGACTGGTTTTCGTATAAGATTCAGTTAAAACACCAAAGTTTAAAAGTTTATAGATATATATATATATATATTATGACTTTTCTGGGAGAGATATACATAATTTCATGATATAATGAAAGACATTTTTGTCACCACCGACACCAACAAAAACCCAATACCGGCCGTGCCAGAATACCAGCGCTGTTGCCCCTCGCTTTTTATTTTATTTATTTAATTATCACTTACATCTATCATTACAGGTATAACCTAATACAATAGAGCAGTTACAATACAACCAATTATTATACAAAACTAAAAAATAAAAAAAGCACAAACACGACAACAAAATCAGACATAAAATAAACATTTTTATGATAGTATACAATAAGCTAATATTGAATATATAATTTTATGATAGTATATAATAATATGGTAATAATAACGTGTGGCAACAGCATCATGCTGAGGCAGAGTCCTGATTAACCATTCTTTTACTATTATAGTTTTAAGTTAGTTTCTAATTTTGTTTTTTTGTGTTTATGGTAATGTGTTTTACATTCTTTTTGTAATTTTCGTGCAAATGGTTAATAAAAATCTCTCTCTCTCTCTCTAATAAAGTTTTGAACCATTTTTTATTATCCAGTCATTTCATTTATACGGTGTAGTGCACGGTGTTTTTTTCTATTTTAATCAAACGGCGACTAGTAATTTCAGTGATTCCATCACATTGCATGTTGTGAAGGTGACAACTAGAATCGATTTGCGATAGACACGATAGATGATAATCGATTTCCCATTTCTACAGATCCCGTAAATCGATTTCACACTATTCCGTGTTTAATCGAGATGTGTCAAGCTCATGAGAATTGTGTAGGAAGTAAATTATTTGTCGAATTTAATAATTATTTACTGACAACCTCCGTGGCCGAGTGGTTTATATGCCAGGTTTCATGGTGTCACCGATTCGAGAGGTCCCGGTTTCGAATCCTGGTGGGGGCATATGTTTGTGTGATGAATACGAGCATTTGTACTCCACTCATGGATGTTTAATATTTATTTCTATATAAATATACTTACACACATCAAAAGTGTCTAGGGATCAAGCATTTTTATGCGGATTTCTTGAGATTGAGATGTGGCTTTGTAATAAATTTATGATTTTATAAATTTATATGGATCCTTTTTGGTGCATTTCATAATTTGAATCAGGAACTGTGAATCAAATTCGAGTAAAAGATGAAAATCAGCTGTCAATATTTTCCCTATAAAAACATACAACGCATTGAAGACATTATTAGTGCTACTGTTTCCCTACTACTGATTAAAACCAACGTTATTATGGAGCGGCGACGTCATTTAAGCAGGGAAGAAATGCTCAGAGCCGTGGGAATGATAGAAGCTGGTTCCCGGCAACGTACTGTGGCTTTAGCTCTGAATACAAGTCAGAGTGTTATCAGTCGACTTTGGACACGATACCGAAGCACTGGTACCGTGGCTGAGCGCCATGGAGGACGGTATCGCTGCACCACACGGAGACAAGACCGATACATTCAAATCTTAACTCGAAGAGCTCCAACAATAACCGCCATGATGTTAGCCGTGAGGCTTCATCACTCTTCAGGGAACTTAATTAGCGACCAAACAGTCAGAAACCGCTTGCATGAAGTGAACCTTCATTCCCGAAGACCGCTACGGGTACCACCTATAGCAATGCACAATCGTAGGATTCGATATCAATGGGCTCTTGAACACAGAAATTGGGCAGAAGAACAATGGCGTTTCGTGTGCTTTTCTGATGAGTCTCGTTTTGGTATGAGACCGGATACAAGACGTATACGACACTGGAGAACCCCTGGACGCCAACAGCGATTAAAATCCTGCCAGGAAGTCCATCCTTATAGTGGTGGAACCATCATGGTATGGGCGGGTATTTGGATCGGCGGAAGAACTGAGTTGATTTGGATCAGAGGCAACCTCAACGCTCAAATTTATGCTGAGACGATTGTATCAGACGTCATCGTTCCTCTACAAGTGCAAATCGGTCCCTTATTTCAGTTAATGCATGATAATGCACGACCGCACACCGCAAGAGTTGTAAGACAGACTCTCGCCGCAGCTAACATCAATGTCCTGCCCTGGCCTGCTCAGTCGCCAGACTTGAACCCGATTGAGCATGCATGGGATATGCTACAGAGAAGAGCTCTGCCGAATATGGAGGGTATCCAGTCGCAAGAAGACCTTTTTTTGTTGTTGCAACGAACATGGGCGGCCATTCCACAGCGTGATTTGGATGAACTCATTTTGAGTATGCCAAACCGATGTTCTTGTGTTGTTAGTGTTCGCGGTAGAAATACGGATTATTAATTGTTTAAGTTACCCAATAAAATTTTAGAGAAAACTGTTATTTCAGTCTTTTTTTCGAACTTTTGTGTTAGTGGTTCAAATGTCAAAAATCCCTTTATTAGGAAAATGGCAAATTTCTTTATTAATGCAAAGGTGACTTGGTTTATCGTTACTGTGACAAACGAAAACACTTTATTTGATGAATCCTTAAAGAAAATTTTAATTAATATCAATCAGGAGAAAAGTTATTGCAAAAATATATGTTGATCCCTAGACACTTTTGATGTGTGTATATATGTATTCTATCCGTTACCCTAGTATCCCATAACACAAGGCTTACAATGCTTACTTTGGGGCTAGACTAATTGGTGTGAGTGTTGGAAATATTTATTTATTTGAAAGGTGCGAATTTACAAATACTTATTGAGAGAACACTTAAAGTTATTTCTGCTCCACAATTAAACAATGCATTCTTTTGGCCTATGGAAGATTTGACTTAGGAATATTGAAA